TTTCATATTTTGGTCCCACTTTATATTGTGTCCCTAAATACTATGTACTTCCATCAAAAAAATTAATACAATGTACTTACTGTGTTTATAATGCATTTGAGAACACTTGTGGTGCTTTTGAGTTGGGATAGAGGTTGGGTTATGGACAGGTTTGGTGGCATGGGTAAGTTTAAGGGTAGGTTAAGGTGTATGGGATGGTCAACAGTGTATTTACAAATGTAACTACAAAAGTTAATTACAGATGTAAATACATACATGTATTTAATCAAGCATAAGTACATAGTAAATACATATATTTACACAATAAGTACATTGTAACAAACTATTAACTCCTATGTAAGTACATATTAGTTAAGGCCACTTAATATAAAGTGGGACCAATATTTTTTGTATGACATTTAATGTACTGCAAAGCCTCACAATTTCATATGAGTTTGAAAGGCTGTTTGGATTAATTGATATAAAATGTTTTGCTTTGCATAAATAAAGAGTTAATAAAAACATCTATAGGTAAAATAAAGTAAAAAATTAATATATGTTATGGTCACACTTTATTTTGATGGTCCGTTTGTAGAGTTTAAGTTACATTGTAACTACATGTCAACTAATTCTCATCAGATAAGTAGACTGTTAGGTTGGGGTTAAGGTTAGCTTAAATTGACATGTACTTGCAATGTTTCTTGTAGTCAGTTAAATGTCTGTTGAAGGAGCAGTATCAACAGATATTAAGCAGACAGTCTACTAATACTCAAACGAAGCATCAAAAAATGTTACCTATTTTATATACATATATATAGGTTCTGTTTGTAAGTTTTTGACTCTTCTAAAGCATAAACATTAAACATTCTTGTTTATTTGAGAACAATGCTGAAGTCAGATATTCTGCTTTGAAAATGTGCATTACGTGCCACAACATCAGTCATTGTTTTGGTTCTTTTAACCCACCCACTACCACTTTAGCCAATTATATTTCAGCACCCCAGGTTGCCTTTGTGAAAAAACACATTTTTGATTCATTCAGTCAGGAAGGCTCTCGAAGTATGCCTCCGTGACCAAAATGCATCCTCTGTTGGACAGTAACAGCCTCCAAAATGAGATACAGATTCAGAGATCCACACGAGGTGGTCATTAATTGCAAATAATATAAATATTACAAACGTAAACATTAGGTGAGCAGGTTACATTGTAACCCCATGTTCAAACAACATGCTACGTGACAAGATTTGCAGTCATAAGCTGATTGCATTAGTTGAAACACGATATAAATTTAAATACAACCATTCATAAGCTCAGAATAGTGCACTCACGCAACTCCAACAAAATGGTAAGGTTTATTATTGAATTAATTCGTATTAAACCTCTATAACATTATTAAATGTAGATGCTGTTGATTGTTTGAATCATGGGTGCAATACCTAGTTCAACCACTTCGCTGTGGCAACCCCGGATTAATAAAGGGACTAATCCGAAAAGAAAATGAATGAATGAATGAATACATCAATTAGAATTAAAATGTTGCAATGAAATGTATTAAATTGATCACTTCTGCAGTTTCTGGAAAAACTTTTTCATATTTTTTAATCGAAAAAAGTTTCTTATTTTTTCAGAATAAAATACTGTTTAAAATTATAAATGAATGAATGAAAAGCTAGAAAAAACAAAAAGTATGTTCTTAATCTATTATTAATATATAACAGATTGATAATATATTTAACGTGACATTTATACTCAACACAAATTTTTAAAAATGTATTTTCTTTTTTATATAATACATTTCATAGATTAAAAAATACAAATTAAGGGATGGATAGCTGAATAAAATCAGCCACTTCTTTGGAAATATTATTTTTAATACTGAAATAGGCACATGACTTTCAGTTTTCTCAAGGAAAACTTAAAGAAATATTTTATGTGCTTCTTTTCATTTTCTCTGAAATCAAAATATTTTACTATTTTATCATCTATATTTCATGTACAGACATTAAAAAAAATAAACATCTTATGGAAATTATTTACAGTATGCCAACAGTTTTGTGGCCAGTTTTTAGTTTCTCATTAAATCTTCTGACCAATCAAAAATTCCCTACGCTATTGGCTGTTTTTTTATATAAAGAGGAAGGGCTACTAGATGCCCTGCCATAGCTTCACGTTTCATATGAGATTACATCAAATTTCGAACTAAACAAGCACATTTTTAAGCACTTCCTTTAAAACGCATAGCACATTTCTGAAACTCTGATGTACGATTTTCTGAAGCACAAAATAAACCTAAGTGATTTTAAAAACGTACTGCAGAATAGTAAAAACGGATGTGCATTTAACCCATTTGCACTCTGTCCCTAGGCTGCAGTATTATTTAAACCTGCGTCCATTTAACAGGCCTCAGTGAGTGTAATACAGAGTAAAAAGATCTCTAGGTCTGCCTTTGGCCTCAGTGTTGGCAGTCCGCCTGAGACACTGAAGTAAACTGCAGCCTTTTCTGGCCTGTGAAATGCAAATGACTCTGTTGTGGTCAGTGCCAGGGCGAGAGCAGAGAATTTGGAGGATATTTTGAGCGATTAAACCGCACCAGGCCAGGCAGTTTCAATGCTGATCAAATTTTCATCGACCTTGGCAAGTCTCACACAATTCAAGGACATCCATGCCAGCGTTCTGCAGTGACTCTTTTTGTTTCTCCTCACAATGGAAAATTGATGTATTTAACAGCGCAAACAACAGGATAGCTGTAACAATGAAGAAGAAGCAGAAGAATAAGAAAGATACTGGAACCTTCATAGCACTGTCTAATCGTGAACTCAAATCATGTCGGATAAGCTGTATTTATGAGTTGAACACATATGAACAACACCTCAAAGTCATTAATAAGCTGAAAACTCGCAGAATCACTGATCCATAATAAACAGTTTTACCTGTCATTCATTTTCAACCGCTTTTCTGGGGTCAGGCTGTGGGGGAAGCAGTCTTAGGAGAGAACCCCAGACTTTCTTCTCCCCAGACAGTTCCTCCAGCTCCTTCGGGGATCCTGAGGCGTTCCCATGCCAGACGAGACATAGCCCCCTACAACTTGTCTTGGGTCTTCCACGAGTTTTCTACCCGATGGGTCATGCTTGGATCACCTCCTTAGGTAGGCATCCAGAAGGCATCCGAAACAGATGCCTGAGCCACCTCAGCTGACTTCTCTCGATGTGGAGGAGCAGCGGCTCTACTTCGAGCTACTCTTGGGTGACAGAGCTCCTTATCCTATCCAAAAGGGTGCACCCTGCTACCCTGTGAAGGAAACTTATTTCGGCCGCTTGTATCCTAGATCTTGTCCTTTTGGTCATCACCCAAAGCTCATGACCATAGGTGAGAGTATGAACGTAGATTTACTGGTAAATCGAGAGCCTTGCCTTTCGGCCCAGCTCCTTCTTTACCATAACTAACCAGTAGATAACCGCATAACTGCTACCGCTGCACCAATCCGCCTGTCAATCTCACGTTTCATCCTTCCCTCACTCCTGAACAAAACCACAAGATACTTGAACTCCTCTACGTGGGGTAAGGACTTTCCTCCAACCTGGAGATGGCAAACCACCTTCTTCCGGTGGAGCACCATGGCCTCAAACTTGGAGGTACTGATTTTCATGTCAGCTATGTTCCACTCGGCACCAAACTACCCCAGTGTGCCTCTGACCCCATACTCCCAGAGCACCCTCCACAGAATGCCATGAGGGATACGGTTTTGTTTCCGTCAGCTTTGCGTTTTTGACAGTTTGGTGCCATCTTGTGATTGAATAATGCTCAGGTTAGTGTATACTCCTTCAGCTGTTTTAGTTCTGTCAGCTTTGTGTTTTTGACAGTTTGGTGCTATCTTGCGACTAAATAAGGCTCAGGTTAGTGTATACTCCTTCAGCTGTTTTAGTTCTGTCAGCTTTGTGTTTTTGACAGTTTGGTGCCATCTTGTGACTAAATAATGCTCAGGTTAGTGTATACTCCTTCAGCTGTTTTAGTTCTGTCAGCGTTGTGTTTTTGACAGTTTGGTGCCATCTTGTGACTGAATAATGCTCAGGTTAGTGTATACTCCTTCAGCTGTTTTAGTTCTGTCAGCTTTGTGTTTTTGACAGTTTGTCACAATCTTGTGATTGAATAATGCACAGGTTAGTGTATATTCCATCAGCTGTTTTTGTTTCTGTCAGCTTTGTTTTTGACTGTTTGTCACCATCTTGTGACTGAAAAATGTACAAGTTATTCTATTTACTCCATCAGTTGTTTTCATTCCTGTCAGCTTTGCATTAAATTAAAGATTTAATAAACTGTTACGCCTCAGAACATGTTTTGTATTTAAATTTTTATTTACTCTTTTTTTTTTTGGCAAGTAGTCATGTAATAAGTATATCTAGGACAGTTTTTCTTTATTGTGCTACTGATAAACTTGTTAGGTTTTATTCTGTGATAACAACCTCCTGGATGAACTTTATCCCTGACATAAAGCCTGTTTAAGACTAAAGGGCTTGATTTTGAGAGGAAAAAAATGCCTTGATATACTTTATCCTACTTATGCAACTACTTGAAACAAAGTCTAAAAGACACAAATATTTATATAAAAATTATTCTGTACTAACGAAAACTAAAGGAGCATACATTAAGCTACACATTATTCAGATGGGGCAAACAGTGTTCAAAAACAGTCAAAAACAGTTGCAAAGAAAGACGTGGTCCTAAAACAATTGTAATTTTACCCTAAAACCCTGCAGTACCACACTGAAAAATGATTGCTCTTAACTTGTGAATAATAATAACAACAATAATAATAACAACAAAAAACAAGAATAATAATAACAACAACAACAACAAAAATAATAATAATAATAATAATAATAATAATAATAATTATTATTATTATTATTATTATTATTATTATTATTATTTTATTTTTTTATTTTTTTCAAAACATTTACCCAAGTTTTCGCAAATGGCTGTGCAGGTCGTGTTTAACATAATAGAAAAGCTGAAGAACTCACTTGTGTGCTGTCATTTTAGCAGGGGTTGAACTGGAAACGCTCAGATCTCATTCTGAAGGTGAAACTGTCCTGCTGTGGGGAGAAAAAGAGATTTGATTGGTTCAGTATCAGGTTTCACAGTCATACAGATGTGTCGTGTGTTCAGGTGGCCTGTAAAGCAGCGGTTTGTTCTAAAAACAGGATTTTATTTAAAGCGGCAACTTGAAACCTTACCAGAATTGTTTACTGAAGAAAATAAACACACTGTATTAGCAACTAGCTTTAAGCTGCACTCATTTATTTAATATAAAAAATACAGTAAAAAGACTGAAATAAATAATCTTGTAAAAACGGATCATTATTATTATTGTTATTATAATAATAATAATTATTATTATTAATATTGTTAGTATTATTATTATATTATTTGCACTGCAAAAAGTGATTATTTGACTTTACTTTTAAGTTGACTTAAATGATTAACACTCAACTGCACATATTTTAATGGTGAATGACAAAAATAATTCCATGTGATTTTTTGTGTTCTTTTGGGAACATTTTATTGTTAAAAGTTTGACCCCACTCCCCAACCCCAAAATATTTTTTATGCAACGATACAAAATCACAGAGAAAATTCTTCACATATTATATATCAAATATCATGAGTCAGTGATCAGAGAGCAATAATAATTTACAAGTTGAATTCGAATTGTAACAGAATCATTAAAGAAATAGGGAAGAACATATAAAACATATCCAGTGCTCAGTATAACTGAGTAAACTGAATATAGGTCATATATTTAGATGCATTTGACGAAACAGATTTATTAAACTGATATATTTAATAAATTAATATTTTAGTCGCTAAACATCTTTAAAAATAGAAGATAACACATATAAATTAATGCGAAATATTGAAAAAAAAAATACAAACTCCATCTAAATCTTAGCACGAACCTTAAGTAAACTTTCTGTTGCCCGAGGGCAACGCTGTTTGTAGAGGGTTAAATAAAGTATGGATATTATTAAAATATATTAAAATATATATTATATTATTAAAATTAAGTCAACTTAACACTTTCAAGTTTCAATAGGTTTACTCACATTTTTAAAGTCAATTTCTCACTTTGGTCAAAGATTAAGCTCATCCAAAATAAAATTTTGTTTTGACATAATATTTGTGTGTGTATCATTATACATGTATTATGAATATAAGATACACAAAAATAAAACAAAAATATACAACACAATGTTGTTGCATTTAAATTGTGTAATTTTGTATTAGTATAATTATAAATAAACTTTTAAGTATATGCATGCCTCACTGGTCACTTTATAAGGTACACCAACTGCTCATTAATGCAAATTTCTAATCAGCCAATCGCATGGCAGCAACAAAATGCATTTAGGCATGTAGACATGATTAAGACGATCTGCTGCAGTTCAAACTGAACATCAGAATAAGGAAGAAAGGTGATTTAAAGGGTCACGAAACACCAAAACACATTTTTTGAGCTGTTGACAGTCGTATATGTGTCCCACACTGCTAAAAACACTATTAGGACACCTATATTTCACTAAAAAGTGTAAATTGGTTGTTTTTGCGTTATTTCAAGCAAATTCGTACTTCCTGTTTGAAACGAATTTTTGAAGCTGCGTCACGGTCATGACATAATAGCGTGTATTCCAGCGTGCAGACTGGACGTCTGTGCCAGAGTGAGTCTTATTACGTCTTACAGTGTGATACATTAATGCATGAGTAAGGCTTGGTTCAAACCAATCAGCGCGCTCTACTGTGCAACTTCATTAATATTCATTTGTGTCACCGCGCTTACACCACAAAGACGCCACGTTGTGTTGGCAAAACAAGCGTGAAGTGTTGCTTTTATAGTCTGCTGCCGTTAAGTTTCGTTTTCATTTTCTCTCTGTGAGAGCTTATCTGGATCACGTGTGGATTAACAGTGTACGCGACGCTCGACAACAATAACTTACGTGTCCAAGGGGGATTATTGTTTACCTGAGAGCTGTTCTCATCTGCAAACGCTGAAATCTGGATTCGTTTGTAGTATTCTCTCCATATAGACGCGGCTCTAGTTGCTGGTGATTGTCCTGTCTCTACAGATTTGGTAAGTGAGCGACCAGTGCTCTTTGTTTATTCAGTTTGTTCGTATCGAATTAAGTTAACTATTGCACTGAGTGAAGAAATGTTAGCACCGCATTTTGTGACCGGAATAACACACGCGGCTTTCTGACACTACCTGCCGTGTGCATCTAAGTTTCCAGGAAATGCGGAGGTTTTTTTTTCTCTCATTCGCCGTGCGGTATCAAACATTGCATGAAAAATACACGCTTAGATCAGTTCCTCGAATCAAATATCTCGTTTGTCGCGAGAGGCATGAATGAATTCCCTGAATGAAAGAGCCAAACTACAGTTAAAGTCCAACATTTAATAATTTGGCAAATAATTCGACTACAGATGTCCATGTAGGTTAAACACCATCACTTACTCCTGTCTGTGTGGGTGTGTATTTTGACTCTGAAACTCGCGCGTGCACAAATAGACACTCCCACACCATCCCACTTTAGTTCCTCCGACACTCCCCCCTAAACAGAGCTGGACACGCCCACTTTTCTGACTTTTTCCAAAGTAGAGGTGTGAAAACACCCTGCTGAAACGAGGGGGTTTCATGGCCCTTTAAGGGACTTTGTATGTGGCATGGTTGTTGGTGCCAGATGGGCTGGTCTGAGTATACCTGTTAACCCTCTCTTTTTTCTCGGGATTCTCCTGTATTTTACAGTTCTATCCCGCTATCATCCCTTAAAGGTAGTTTCCCGTATTTCTCCTGTATTTTCAGTGTTTCTCCGTGGGGTGGCAAGAAACACTGAACCACCGAACCACCAGGGGGCGCCCCTTGCTCTTAAATGAGAGTCTGTTCTGTGCTTTCGCTTAATTTAGGCATGAAAACACTGTGAAATAAATATAAAAACAGCGTGATTCCTCTTCTTTTTCATTACAGATGCCGTTGCCCCTCTTATGCAATCCTCAAACCAGTCATGTAGAGGTGCATGACTGTCAGCTGACGCGCTCTAAAGTGATAAATAGAAGCTGTTTCCCAAACGGATTCTGTACTGGTGATTTGAAGCGGAGCAAAAGTCTGGCTTTTGGGTGCGTGTTTAAACAGACATAAACACATAATTAATAATAATAACATCTAAAGATGTAGATCTTTTTTTTTTTTCAAACACAAGTAATTTAGTCTTAAACGAGCATAAAAAGGAAAGCAGTCGAATGCCTTTGTTATGTTGTTAGATGTGCACATTTTTAAAGTGACACCTCTTATTTAATGCGATCAGACTAAAAAATAAAATAAAATCTAAATAAGAGATTGATTCGTTGCTCTTTAATTAGAATGTGTAAGTTATACAGTGAAGAAACGACTAATGAGATTTGAGAGCTTGATTCTATTTCATTGGAACAGCTATTTTTAATTAGCTGAACTGTTTGCTAATGTATTTGCTGCTAATGTGTATATTTATTTTTTATTTTTTGTAAATAATAATAAAAAAACATTAATGACCATTTAACTGTGAACAATAAAACAGCTCCAAATGAAGGGAGGAAGAGGGGAAGGGGGTATTATGGTTGGTATATCCCTTTTTTTCACATCCCAATGTTGACAGGTATGGGTCTAAGTATTTCAGAAACTGCTGATGTACTGGTATTTTCACACACAACCATCTCTAGGGTTTACAGAGAATAGATAGAAAGGCAACAGTAACTCAAATAACCACTCGTTACAAGCGAGGTCTGCATAAGAGCATCTCTGAATGCACAGAACGTCCAACCTTAAGGCAGATGGGCTACAGCAGCAGAAGACCTCACCGGGTACCACTCCTGTCAGCTAAGAACAGGAAACTGAGGCTACAATTCACAAAGGCTCACAAAATTGGACAATAGAAGATTGGAAAAACGTTGCCTGGTCTCAGGCCTGTGCAGAGACCGTCCAAAGGGCATGTGCAGGATAAATTTTTGGAAGAGGGGGGGGGGGGGGTTTGGGGGGGGGATCTGCAGAGTGGATGCGCGCGTACTGAAAAGCGGTGTTATCGCGCGCGTACTGAAAAGCGGTGTTATCGCGCGCGTACTGAAGAGTGGTGTTATCGCACGCCTACTGAAGGGCGGTGTTGTCGCGTGCCTACTGAACGGCGGGACTGAAGGTGTGCCGCGTCACGGGGGCACTTTAGATCATTTTGGAAGGGCACTTTCTATCCAAGACTAACACTATGTGTGCAAGTGCCTGCCTGCCTGGTCTGATGAGTCTTGATTTCTGCTGTGACATTCAGTAAGAGTTTGGCGTCAACAACGTGAAATCATGGATCCATCCTGCTTTGTATCAACAGTTCAGGCTAGTTGTGGGGGATATTTTCTTGGCACATTTTGAGTCCATTAGTACCAATTAAGTATCATGTCAATGCCACAGCCTACCTGAGTATCGTTGCTAATCATGTCTATCCCCTTATGAACAGTGTACCCATCTTCTGATGGCTACTTCCAACAGGATAACACATTATGCCATAATGCGAGAATCATCTCAGATTGGGTTCTTATACATGACAATGAGTTCACTGTACTCTTTGGGATGTGGTGGAATGGACTCTCATCATGTATAAGCAGCCAACAAATCTGCAGCAACTGAGTGATGCTATCATGTCAATATGGACCAAAATCTCTAATATTTACAATACCTTGTTAAATCTATGCCATGAAGGATTAAGGCTTAATGGGGTCCAACCCTCTATTAGAAAGGTGTCCCTAATAAAGTGGACGGTAAGTGTGTATCCTTTTTTTATTATTATTCAAACCTATCAGAATTTTATGAACTAAATTACTGTGACTTCTAAACAATTTAATATTAACTATTAATAATATATATA